CTGTCCTCGCATATACCAGCCCCTCCACACCCTATTGAAGTCCATGCAGTCCCGCTTCCAGAGTCGGGCAAGCCGCGCTCCCATTCACCTCCCTTCACTGAGCGTGAGGGCGAACCACCACTTAAGAAGAGACGCGGATCCGAGGCTGCTGTGCCGCTTATACCATTCACATTACAATCGCGCGAGGCATCGCATCACTCTCCGACTCTGCCCCGCACTTCTCAACTGTCATCACTATTGCAGCCGCATTCACCAGTCCCACCCACCGTGGGAGCATCCCTCGACGACCTCAATTCCACGGCACGCAATGCCGAACCTCCCCATGTTGCCAGATCGTCACCGCCTTTACCTCCTGCCCAACTTGAGCACCCAAGGCCAGCTGAACCCGCAGTAGAAGTGAAGAAGGAAGATGTGGCATCTAATGTCGACTCTCTAAAGGCCTTCCTTCCCGACGCTTCGTCAACTTCGCCCCGCATACACTCACCGGCTCCCGGTCGGCAGTCGCCTTCTGACAAGAGAAAATCTCCTGTGGTGTCCAGACGTTCGCCTGACGCGCCAGTGGATGTACAAGTCAAGGCTGAGCCCGTGTTGGTACCTGCTGCCCCTGAAAGTAAGGACGCACCGCGCCAGCACACAGTGACGCAGAAGAAAGACGAGGCAGGACCGCCGAAGAAGAAAAAGAAAGCTGAAGGGAAGGACAAAGTCGACAAGCCCGCGAAAGTCGCTAGACGAGAGCAGGCTCCCCAGCCAGTCAAGACAGACCGACAGCCATCTGTGCCTACGAAGGAGCTCGCTCAGGAGGATGATCCTCATGATTGGCTTATGGAGCATGTTCTTTCCTCTGGCAGCTCTCCTCGGCATGACCCAGCGGAACGCCGTCCAACGGCCAGCGCAGACCACAGCCCTCCTACACGACCTCCTTTGGCAAAGCACGATCGTTCAAGCGGTTCTGGTCCTCCAGTACGGCCCTCCCTGCAGTCATCCAAGAAGTCCTCGAAGGAGTCCAGGGAATCTCGCCCAGCACTACCTGCGCGGTCCCCCACACCTGTTGCCATGCTCGAGGAGGAGATTGCCGCAGTGCCAGTCGATCGTCACTCACGTGTCGATGGGAAGCCGACCCGTGGACCTACCCATGGTCACGACCAGGGTAGGACTTCTCATCCTACCCCTGCTGACATGGATCTAGACGCTGAGCTGGATTTCGTCGCCGGCCCCACTGACTCGGACTCGAAGCGTAAGCAGGACAAGACAGTAGATATGGACGTTGAAGACGAGCTGCTCAGCTTGCTGGATGATAAACCCCATCATCATCGGGGCTCATCACACTTCCACACGCGACCCGATGTTCCGAAGCTCTCAACTCCTTTGCCCTCGGCACCCCACTCCCCAGAGCAGGCGTCCCTACAACCCAGTCCTACCAAGGTGAAGCATGCTTCCAATGGCGTGGTCATGTCGGAGCGCGAATCGATGCCACCACCCCAGACTCCTGACCCCGCACTGGACTCGTCCAGCAAGAAGGGTGAGGCGTCAGCCACTGCCAGCACGAAGAAGAAGGATGGAGCAGCGAAGGTATGTTGTGGCATCATCAACGTGCAGCCCAGCCTCTGATCGCGTATGTAGTCTACGGCGAAGAAACCAGCAGCTGCCGCGAAGCCGAAAGCACCGAAGGCAAGTACGGTAGCCAAGTCAAACGGCAAGGGTTCCGCCCTCGCTAAAGACGGCAGCAGCACCCCGGTGCTGTCGGCCTCGAACTCTGCTCTGACCGTACCTGCCGTCGGCACTGAAAGCAAGGTCAAGAAGACGTCTCCACACCCTGCAGGGACTGTTACTGGTGCAGGTGTTGCTGCGAAGCGTGCTGTGTCTACTTCGGTGGGAGGCGCTGCCTCGCGGTCCCGATCGACGTCGGTCATGCCTACCCCGCATGACGCTGACAAAGCCACCGACAAGAAGGTGGCTAACGAGGAGCCTGAGGAGGAGGCCGTTGTCGACGACAAGCTGTATTGCATCTGTAAGACGAAGTACGATGAGGACAGGGTCATGATTGCGTGTGATAGGTCAGTATACGATAATGCGAAGCGTGTCGATGCATACTCATTGCCCCTGTGCCTTGTTGCCTTAGGTGTGATGAGTGGTATCACACTCAGTGTGTGAATATGCCGGACTTGGAGGTTGATCTGGTCGACCAGTTCATCTGCCCTGTATGCATTGCCAGTATGTGTTTCGCTGCTTCCTTCGTGATATCTTCCTGACAGTGTTTCGCAGACAATCCGCACCTGCCGTTAAAGACAACGTATAAACGTCGTTGTCACACCGGACTGAACCATCCACACCCCTCGTCGCCATCCGCTTGCCACAAACCTGCCCGAGGAGCATTCTCAAAGTACTGTTCTGATGATTGCGCAGTCCGTTTTATGCAGTCGAAAATCCGTCGCTGGGGCGGCGACAAGGCTGGGTTGTGGGAAGGAGTGAAAGATGCGGATAGGAGAGAAGCGGTAGTCGTCCGTTGTGTGACAGATGGTCAGGAGGAGATAGATGGCGGAGACACGAAGCCAGATATCAACACTCCTGCGAAACTCAGCAACGGCGATGCTAGCGCTACGCGCACTGAAGTGGTCAAACCATCCAAAAGCAAGACGCAGCGCGAAGCCGACCGCCTTGACTCACTGCTTTCCCGGCTTCCAGTGCGTCGTAGTGCACTGAAGAAGGAGGAAGAGCTGCTCTTGTGGCGGGAGAGTGTTGTCGACCTTGCCATCGCGAGAGCTGAAGCAGTGGGAGAGTGCGGGTGGGACCAGAGGCTGTGTTTTGGGGAAGACGAGATCGCCGAGTTTGGCGCAGAAGTCTTGCAGAGCTACGATAGCTTCAAGGACGGAGGGGATGGAGATTCTATGCACGTCGATGGCGGCGACGAGTGGTGGTGTAGGGGAAAGAAGAAATGCGACAGGCACGCTGGGTAAGAATGCCTCCTGTCGTCGTTGTTAGCTGCGTCGCTGACCTGGAAACTCAAGCTGGCAGAAACTCCGCCAGATGGAGGCCGAGGTGGACAGGGAGCTGCTCAATGCTAGCCTTGACAAGATCACCACGGAAGAGCGGGAGCTACGCAGTCGTATCGAGGACATCCTGAAAGATTCAGACTCAAAACCTCCCTCAGACCATCAGTCAGCACAACCGGGTCCAGGCACGACGCCGCTGAAACCAATAAATGGGGACGGCGAAGTGAACGGTGTTAACGGGGTGAAGACCAAGACCAACGGAGCAGGGGCGGATTCAGGTGCGAAGAAGGGGAAGAAGAAGAAAGCGGAAGGACCTTGATTGGATGTCTCGCTGTACAAACCATCTCTTTATAGTCACTGTACAACTCTGCATATTTCGTTAGCACACGCCCTAATTTGAGGCGAATTACCATACTATGATTGTTTCTGAAGGATCTGGATATTTGTTACTCCACTGCCCATCTCGATGTTACAACACGACAAGTAAATGATCAGACGCGACAGGTGTCCGACGGAACTTCCGTACAGTGTGCATATATGAACTGCACTCAAATGTCCAGATCTTCGTCCGGGTCGTCGTCGTCCATATCATCCGCAGAATCGGGGTCATATAATATGGAGCCTTCGGGAATGACTGACGTGCCAGGTGCTGCTGATCATGGGGATGAGTGAACAATGAATTCATCGTGACATAGATGCGGGCTCACCGTCATGTGCATAGGGAAGAGGGACTTGCGCCCTCGACTGCTGCTGCTCAGGCGTAAGATTGAGGTTGAAAGAAGCGTTCTTTGTCGGATCAGGACCAGTCTACAGATCGTCGCGTCTATACTCAGCTGTCTTCGCGTGATTATGACCAGAAAGACTGACCTCCTGCACAGCGCCCCTCTGGGACCATATGCTCCTTAGACTGTCCAATTTTCTTAGATCGCAAGGCCCCGGAACGTCACCCTCCACTATCCATCCCTCCAGTGCCCTCTCAACCCCACGACGCCGCCCGTCCCCCGTGGATCGCACGACCAACTCGACCACAATCTCCGACCCTCCATACCCCTCCCCGTCCGCACCGAACACCAATGCCTCGCTTTCAGCCTCTCTCTCCGCTATCGGCAGGAACACGCCCCAGAATTTCTCCGGGGTGGACAGAGGCGGGGGCGGAGTGGAATATGAGCGTGCAAGATGCTCAATCAGCACAGGGGGATGTGCTATTATATGCGTTAGGGTCGACGAGAAGGACGGTTGGCGGAGGGACGATGTTAACGGTGATGATCCAATTCCGTGCACCACAAGGCGGGAGTGGCCTGAATATGAAGCGGTCAAAACGTTTTCTACGGGTATAGTTTGGGGAGCAGACTCACCTTTGTGTTTCTGTACGGATGAAAAGATCTCAGATAGAAATGTGTGGGCCGCAGATATAGAGCCTGATACATTTGATAGCAGGGTCTCTATGGAGTCAATGACCACCGTCACTGGCTGGGTAGGATCTGGTAGAAATAAGTTGTCCGTCAAGTAATGTCAAGTGGCAGATACACGCACCCAGTCCTTGCAACGATGAAAGGACGCGAGCCTTCCAAGGAGTTTCCTTAGAGTGGTAACCTAGAACATACTCTGTACAGTCGATAACATCTACATTATGCTGGTCATGACCCGCCGAAAATACTGTGTGCGGGTACAAGTAACATATCAGTAAGACGTTTCCTCTGCTTTTCGCTATTAAATCCCGGAGAATTGGCAGAGCCGATTGCGCGACCGATGACTGCAGTAGTAAAAGTGGCTGCGCCGGCCTTGTTGAATTCGAGACGATGGAGGGAAGGAGGGACATCGAGAGGATATTAAATAGATGATTCCCTCGCGGCCAGGACGACACGACGTCACGGATTGTGTGCGATCCTACGAGTGATCGCCGATATCAAAAAGGTCCATATAGTAGCGTCGACAACATGGAAATCGCGCTTTGTGCAAATGCGACTACTTCAGTTGCCTGCAGCACTTACTGCAGCGGGTGAAAAATAACGCTGATAGCAGGATTTGAACCTACGCGGGCAGAGCCCAAGCGATAAGTGAATTCGAAATTCAAATCGCTCACCTTAACGACTCGGTCATATCAGCTTAACAGAAGAAGTATTTTAAGCCGTACACATCGTGTGGCTCTTGTCTAACTACAAAAGCATGAGCGTATCTTGCAACCTCAACCTGCTGTTTCTATAAGACCATCCTGAACCCTCTCCACTTTCTTCGCTGCCTGGGCAGGCTCGAGTGAGACTGTCTTTACTCAAACCATGGATTCACTCATTCCGTTCACGACGTCGGGCTCGCTAGTTGATTGCGTCGACAGTACGTCTGTCCCGAGCACCTGCGCCGACACCGTACACCCTCCCTGAGCTTCTACCCCTTCCATAATTTCGTTGTTGCCTCAAATGAAGGGAAGATGCTGGTACTCCTCCGAGACGGCCGCAAACTACAGGGCGTGTTACGCTCCTACGATCAATTTGGTAAGCCATCCTTCTCTGTATTTGTCCTGTACCGCGTTAAATCATATTTGGAACTAGCCAATCTCGTACTTGAAGACACTGTAGAGCGTATATATCATCGAGATGTATTTGCCGAGAGGAAGGTGGGCCTGTACCTGATACGAGGAGAGAATGTCGTTTTGCTCGGAGAGGTCGTGCGTATCTCGTTTTGCTCATCTGCGTACACGACAGAACCAACAACGATAACCTCAGGATCTCGACCAAGAAGAAGACGTGCCAATAAGACAAGTAGACTGGGAGGTCTTGCATCCATACCACATCCAGGATATCGCCGACAAGAAACAACGAGATGAAGTGAAGGCCCAGGTTCTGTACGAGAAGCGTGGCTTCTGTAAGGAGGGAGGGGAAGGAGATGGCTATTGAAAGGAAAGCCATGCTGCTGATTATCTTGCAAAGCGAACTCGTTTCGCGACGTCTCTCATAGGGTTCGGGTCACTGTGCATTGGCAGATTCATTACGCCGCACGACCCGCCCGCAATGTATCAATCTACCCATTACTCATTGTTGTCTAGCGCATCGCATTGCTTTCTGTCTGCTTTTCGCTGTCGCGGCCGGTTAATCAAGGTGCTCAGGACATCTGTCAGAAGTATTCTCATGGAATGGCTATGTATAACGGCGACATGAGCTGTTAATATTCAATCAGGGTCTGAGATTGGCTTAATCGGGGTCATTTCTTAGATGAAAAGATGCAAGTCAATGTATTACCACGCCTCGTGCGTGGTGGTATTACGCAATGTCTACATGCTACAGTCCCTTGTGTATGCTACAGTGTCCAGAATCTTGAGGAATGAGTACGAGATAAAGCTGTTTACGCAGCCTTCGCAGTAGCCAAGACATGGAGTTTGGCGAGAGAGCAGGCGAGCGGAACAGCGTAAAACGCGAACCCCACGTATATCACTGCGTACATAGGTCAGCATTCAGTTTCAATCCCAACTGCGGATGCTACTACGCACTGACGAAGCCGTTGCTTGTGTTAGCAACAAGTTGAGGAGAGTTGGAACCACCCTTCAGAATAAGGTTGTTGAAGTCTTCAACCGCCTTGCCGAACCACATGCGTAAAACAAGGAAGGATGTGAGGCCTGTAGATTGCGTTTAGATACACTCGAGGAGTAATCTCAACGAACTTGAATCCTTACCAGTGAGGAAGCCCAATAAACCGATCCAAGCCGTGAAGCGTTGAACGGCCGGCTTGTCAAAGATAGGGCCGAGCTTGCCTAGTTTACTGCGGAACGCCGTAAAGGTGAAGGTGAAGAAGAACATAATGGTGAACGCCAGAGAAATGGCGATGAAGACCGGTGTGGAGACGGTCGGGGCGGTGAGCAAATCTGGGGCATTACTTGGCAAGACGGATAAATCTGGAGAAATACAGTCATAATGAGCATCAGAATATAGGTGAGTCGGAGGAGAATGACGGACCGTAGTGAGGAGAAATGGTGAGTGTTGAGCAGTTCGTCGCAGCGTTGTTGTTGGCTCGTTCGCATGAGCCTAAGGAGGGTTTATCCTTGAGCATAAGAGCAGAATCGAGACACGTTTAACTCACCGAGAGGCCCTAGGAAAACACTAGGTCCATCAACACTGTGCCCATCCCCCGTCGGCTGAGTGAGTGCAGATGACGGCGTGACAGTCAATAGCGCGACTCTCGTCTGCAGCATCAGGACAGGGGCAAGATAGGCGAACAGAATGAGTATGAAGCTCGTTAGAGATAGCAGCGGCGCGAGGTATAGGTTGATAGCTTTGGAAAGTCCTTGCATCATCTTGGCGGGCGTACTTGTCGAATGTATACGTGAATCACTGAGTCAATGAACGTAAAGGGGTCTAAAGAGAGTCTCTGAAGGACTTGTGAGTTGAAAGGGCTGCCCAGCAGGAAGTGAGTTGAAGGGTGGGTGCACTAGGCAGGATGGGTCTCACCATTGTCTGCTGCCCCGACCTTAAATATGCACGAGACAGTGAGCCATGAGTCTGGTTCCATTTCAGCCCCGCTCAATGATTATTCGATTTTAGACAATAGAAAGTCTCGACCGCGTATAAGTGGTGAACGGACAAAGGCTGGTAACGAGGCAGACGAGAGTAGCGCCGCCGCCCATTGTTCTTGTTCTCTCAACAGTGCTGGTCCAATCCGGACAGCGCACAAAATGGAAATGGAAATAGCCGGCTCATGCAAAGGTGTAGACGCCGATCGCATTCAACTTTCGCGGACAAAGGTCACTCGTCCATCTCGCGATGTCGGTCAGCTGGCATCTCGCTTCAGACTCAAATGTAGATTACATATACTTTTCTACATATGAATACAAGATACACGCCAAAAAGCCGAACCACACAACATGATGGGTATCAATGCGAAGAAATGACAATGCAAACCTGCTGAAGTTAACTTACAATCCGTGCCAATGCCATCGCTGTCAAATCATACTAGTACATCCATGATCACAAAATGCAAAACATACTTTCGAATGTCAATGAATCCCGATGAATGGAATGCCAAACATCAAGCGTCCTCGACCGCCGCAAAAGAAGGGACACTAGGGTATATTTCTTCAGTCCTGTCGTTCGTAGCGTTTCCGCTCAAGGAGCTCGTATGGTGCACTGCTCTTTCTGCCTTCGTTGGAACCGTAATCGGATCGTCGTTAACTACCCCGCAGACGGTCTTCTCTCCTGGTGTATCCCGATCCAAGACCACCTCGCTTTCACTAACTCCCGAGCTGGGAGGCTCTGGCTTCTGTGCGAAGCTCATGCTATCCAGAACCAAATCAGGCTCATAGTCTGCGCATCCCAAGGATGAGCCACGGGTGTCGCTCGCGTCGTTCCTGTTGTATAGTATGCGCCGAGGTACGTCAAGCTTTGTAGTCCCTGGCTCCGACCGCCCGACAATCATGCTTCGAGCTTTCTGGGCTCGCTTCGACACAGTCGAAGTGAACGAGAACCCTCGGGAGCGTCGTTTATTCGTCTGGGATAGTGCATGTTCGGTGACGGGGAAAGCGCGATGCAGGAGAGGTGGCTCATAGGTTGGTGGCGATTCATTCTCTTCCCGCTGATAGTTTGCATCCTCGATTGGTGATCGTCCGTTCGGGCTGCCAGCTTGGCCGGCAGTAGGAAATCCAGCTACACCGTTGGCTAGTTCTATATCATCCAGTGCGGGGACGGCCTTACGCGAATGTGTGCGTCCTACAACCATGCTACGAGCCTTGACCATCCTAGATGAATTTGCTCCTGTGCTGGCTCCATGCGACTTGGTATCGCGCACAGGCACAACGACGCTACGACTGGGACTTCTCGGTTCCCCTTGGGATTCTGATCTCAGAGGTAAGGTCTCGCGTAGTGTCTGCGGCAGTGGTGGGTGTGGAGTAACCGTAACTCTCATCAACTCTAGCTTGGAGTTGCCCAAACCTGAAGACAGCGAGAAGCGCCTTGGGTTCTTGGGTGGCGAGGTTGCAGCGGCCGGTGCCGTGTATGTACGTCGCCGGTGTTCTTGACGAGACGAGGACGGAGCGGAGACCAATGGTCTTTCCACGGCCTTCCCTTTAGTCTGGGCGGGTCGTATGGGCGTACTTGGTTGCTCTTCCAACTCTTTCATATTTGGGCTGGCTCCGGACAAATGCATGGAGCTCATACTTCCTACTTTAGACCCCATGGCATGTATCAGGTCCGCGAGCTTGCTAGATGAAAGACGATTATTATTATTAACCTCGTTGTCGGCCTCTGTGGACAGGAAAGACGTGGGCCTCAGAGCCTTGGGTCTCGATACACTGGGGCTCGTTCGCGAAAGTACTGGCAAGGACTGACGACGGTTTCGGTTGAATGCGGGTACAGCACTAGGAATGGATTTCATCTTTCCGCGCCGAGCATCTGGGAGCGGGATGGGATGCTCCTAGTAGAAATTCAGCGTCCGGCCCATACGAAGATGGCTCTTGCTCACCGAAGCATACTCGATGTGGGTCACCTGTGTAGTTCGCGTCATCCCGATCTGGGGGTCGGGGCTTTCAACGACGTCCTTATTCTTGTGGACAAAAAAGTTCTTTATTTTACCGCCTAACCTCTTCATTTTCTGCAGGCTTGAAAGCTTACCAGGTCCATGAGCGTGTACGCTGACGGCACTGCTTGTTATCGTCGTTGTCAGTGGTATTCCGTGGCGATCAAGAGGGAGGGATAACGGTGGTTCGGATCTGCGTTGCTGACGTCGAAGTGTAAGGTCCCCTCCCTGTACATCTTCCTGTGATCCTACACTATTGGTAGTCCCGATGAACGACAAACTCAAAGACAAGGACGGGGAGGATGCGTTTCGCCGCCGGTAGTTATCAGCTCTCAGAGTGTCGTCTGCACCCGTGAATGATGGAGTTCGTGATTCTAGCTCTGCCCCAATTTGTGATCTAAAAGATGTGGGTATCGAGACTTCCGATGGTGCATAGTTCGAAACTTGATCCACAGCAAGACCAAAGGCATCCATTTCAGCCGAGGACGGAGAAATCCCGCTTCGTTTTTGTGAACTCAAGAATGGGCTGAGAAAACCTGGGCTAGCTTCGTCGTCAGATGGAAGGACAGGAGAGTCATTGTCGTATTCGCGCGATGAACTTGTGGTCGCGG